TTGTTAGCGCAGGTATCTGCATGGGGCTGGCAGCTCTGGGGCTTCAAGCTCACCCCCCTCCTCGGTCAGTGCTTCCCACACCCTTCTTTACCGCCTGGCCCTGAGCAGCCTCCACACTTCATATGCAAAACTGATACACAGAACTTATCTAATCTCCAGCTGCTTTTATACATTCCCTCAAGACTTTTGTTATCTGTGGGCACTCTGAGCTGCTTGATTAAATCCCTCACAGATGCAAGTAGTATAGAACAGCAAGAGAAATTCCTTCTGCAAGTATTTCACTCTTGAGACCAATAAAGAGCAACACACTCACATGCCCCCAAAATGTCCATGACCTCACCTGTATTTCAATGAATGTGCTGCTCTTACATCCTCAATCCTCAATGACATAAAGAGCCAAATCTAACACAAAAAGCATTAATTCTTAAAGTACATCTGACAGTTTCTGAAAATTTTGGGCCCAAAGTTCAACAGCTGAGAGAAAAGAAGCTGAATGTAGCCTCCCTCCTCCACCATCAGCTTCTATACACAAGCCAGTAACAGAGAATTAGTATTCTATCCACTTCTTCAGATAAGTTTCTAAAACTGTTAATTCACCATTTTATGAACACGAGGATTGCATAGGGTTGGCTGTGGATTTCAGTACAGTCTCAACACCTAAATTAATAATTACTCTCCGTTTAAAAATTACTCGAGGACTCCTTTTTACATTAAGACCTCCTTGGATAATGCTTTTTATTTGCCTCTTTGGATAGTGGTTTCAAATTTGAACAACTGCTGTGTGATATCAAGCAAGAGTTTCACTGTTATAATCACATAATTACTAATAGAGACAAAAGGTTAAAGGCAAAAAACCTTGCTCTGTCACTCCCAGAATTTCATTCTTTCCCACATAAAGATAATAATTAACTAGTGTTCGGTCACACTACACAGGATAGTGGCCAATCTGTTAGAGAAGGCTGGAGGATGTATCACAGCAAATTAGTTTGGTAATACTGTAGCAATCTACTATTTCATCTGAAAAATAAACTATTTTGACAATTTGACAATTCCCTCCCTTGCTCCTCCCTTCCCCCAAAAACAAGAGGATAGCGAACAGAAAAGCTTATTATAAATGACACTTCTGTCTAATTAAATGTCAATACTTATTATGCTTGAACTGTATACACAACACTCCCCAAAAAAGCCTCTCAGAAATTCAGCTGCTCCCTTCCTCTGCTTTGGGTCTGAAGCAGGACAGTGCAAGAAGTCTGGTATCTGCTTTTCTTCACTGCTATACATAACATTTCAGGAAACACAAAGACAGCAAGATAAAATTCATTACTTTGAGATTATAATACTTACTGGCACAGTTTAGAAGTAATACTAATAAAAAAAGTAGTTCTTAGAAACCACGCCATCAACACTGCCAATTATTTTGAACCTAAAACCTTTATGTCCTCCCTTTCTATGCCCAGTCATTTTTCACATGAAGAAAGTAACTCTTCCATCTTTGCTATCCAGGACTCTAGAGTAGATACAGCCCGAGAAGATACTAAAAAATGTTTTGAGAGGAAAAAAAAGACAAAAAAAAAAAGACAAATAGACTGATAAATAGAGATTCCAAACAGCTCAATATGGTTCATTTTAAGCCCATTTTTAAGTTTCAAATTTATTCTTAGTGAATATCTGTCCACACCACATTACAACTGGCAGCCTGATAAATGCACTGGATTTCCATAGCACATCCTTTCATAGTAAATCTGATCTATTTTTTCAGGTTTTGACCAGTTTTCTAGATGGGAAACTGAGCTTCAGAGACTCTGAAGAAATACACCCAATATACTAAAAGTCCACAGCTAAGAAAGATCTAGAATTCAAATAGTCAGACTTTTGTTTTGTTACTACTTCAGCAGGTTCAACTCATTTCCCTTTTCACTGCAACAGTCGTCTTACAGGTCAGAGTGTGAACAAACGCAAAGACAACAAAAGACCTCCTTCCAGCTAGCTCCTGCCACCTCAAGGCTGAGTACTCACTGACCTGGTAATAACAGTACTTCAGAGGAGACAGGACTTTTGCATCACTTCCAAATGATGCAAGAAAAACATCCAGAGTCCACGTACCTTTAGGAAAAGGCTTCATATTGAGTACCTACTGTTATTCACAACAAATACAAACCTATCTGTCCTACAGGTGACACACTGAAGCCACAATCAGGCTTGAAACATCATCAATCTGTGCAGCCATATTGTTTCTGACCTGGAGACCTTTTATTTGCAGGTGATACTCAAGGGTACAGGAAGTTTTATGAAACAACAGTCACACACATGCTTGAACGGGATTTGTGAAGTTTACATGAGGTTTCAGAGATTATTTTGAGCATAAGTCTAGAAAGTTTCTATATGATGGCAATACACCCATACGCACCTTAATGAACCAGAAAAACACACCTATCCCTCTATTAAGTAATAAACTATAATTGATCTCAGGAGTCACCTGGATCATAGTGAGACCGCTTTACAGAATGGTTTGGGAATGGCATACCACAGTGTGAAGAAACAGAGAGCAGGCAGCTGAAGCTAGAAATGTCTTTAAGTAAATATATCGGCATAGTTTAAGGCCTGTAATATGAAAACAGAAGTTGTGAATTTGCAGGGATCCAGTGGCAGGCAGGAAGAGACAAGCAAGGTCCGAGTAAGTAACAGATTACTAACAGATGTTACTGGATGGGCCCCAACTCACATTAGAGCCACCAGGGAGGCCAGAACACTAAGACAATCAAATCTTAAGACTAACAGAAGCCAGTTTCAGACCAGGGAGAGGCTCTGCCCAGCCCACCTCCCCATACCATGTTCCCACTGTAGGTAGGCTGATGGCAACCACCAGCTACAGCAGTGGCCAGCTTGCGAGCCAGCGAAGACACACAGAGGGGAGAGCTCCTCGGTGCACAGCTCTGGTCACTGCACGGCTATATGACCACTTCAGCCAGCGCAATGGACAGCAAAGAAACACGTGCACCAAGTTAGCAGTAGCCCATGCTCCTGGAATAAGCAATTTAAGATGAAAAATGGCAAAGCTAGCAGGGGAAAAAAAAATCTAACTATTTTTAAAAATAAAATAATAAAAAAAAAAGAAGCAGACCAAACCCTGTGGAAGGGCAGAGAGCTGAAGCAGTCAGAAAAGGATTAAGCTGCCAGGAAAAAGAACTAGGAAGAGAACTACTGTTTAAATACCACAAAATGGTGAATTTAACCATCCTTCTATATTTAAAAAAAAAATAAAAAAATTAAACAAATACACAAGTGCATTGATAAGACATAAAACCACCTTGTTTCCTAGTATGCATCTGTCAGCTCATGATATTTGGAGGCATTCATCATTATGCAAAGATTACTAGGAATAAATGGAAAAGTTTTCCAAGTGAGTTCCACCTCCGATATTTTAAACTTTATTATATCCATAACCTCCCCTTGTTTGAAAATAGCCTTAAAAGTGGCAACCCCTGACCCTCACACAGATGATTACTACATCTAACTCTTCCCATTCCTGAAGCTGGATCTTGTATTCTTGGTCTCATGACTCAATGCTATAATAAGATGCAATAAATGGAGACTATAATGAAACATTACTAAAATATCTTCTTGATAGAAACTTCTCAAAATAAATTTGCAGTAATTTTTTAAATGTGTTCCTAAACTAGGTTAAATAGATTTAAATAGATTTCATTAAAAGGAAATTCTGGCTTCCATACAACCCTAAGATTAGGAAGCCTATATATTTACTCATCAAAAGAAAAAAAAGGGTTGAAATCAGTGCAAGTTCAGATAAACTAAAACCAGAAGCACCAGGTGATAATAACAAGTTAGTATTTTATACGTTCCTTAAGAAAGGGAAAAAAACAAAACAAAAACCAACCAACAAACCCAAAACACCCCAAACTTCTTCCTACAGCTTTCCTCAAAAGTATCAAGGAGTAACTAAATTTGACTCCCCTTTGCTATATGACTCCAAAAAAGATTTCTTTACCTATTAAAAAAGGAGTTTACAGTCCTCTACAGGCCTAGGAGAAACGAAAAGCTCTTTAGTATCTAAAAGGAGCCTGGTAATCTTCAAGCCCTTAATGACAACGTGCAACTGCCTATAGCTATAACCTGGTACAGTCCTTTCAGGACACTAATTATTAACAGCCTGACTACACGCGCTGAATCAAGGAAATGTAGCAAGTGAGAATCAGGTTTTGATTTCAGCTGTTCCATCTACAAATAGGAGGGGTTTTTAAACACAATTTAAGAAGCCAAAAAGAGGAAGAAATTACATGTAAATAACAACTGCTGGTCTTCAACAGCTGTATACAACTAAGCAGATAAAATAGGGGTAAAACACCAAATGCTGGAAAGTTACATGTTCTAACTTGGTGTGACTGTAAATGAACACAAGTCCCACATCCTATACGCTGTACAAGCCTCAGCCACAATTACTTGAAGACAATGTCAACAGAAAACACACCGATGGAGAAAATCTGTGGGCTAGCTATTAACCGCTTGAGCACCCGCAGATCAATACTGCAGCACGCAGCAGGATCTTCAAGTCCAGAGCAGCTAGTTGAATTGGCAGCTTTAGTTCCAGCCATGGCATCTGTGTTGTGAAGCCTTTGAAGCTGAAGGCAGTCTGAATTGAAAACAAACCGGCAAAATTTGGAAAAAGCTTTTATTCTACTCATAGCCAACTTCAAGTTGTATTTTGGCTGGCACTCGAACTGAAGTATTAGAGGGAGGAAAGTTGTCTGTGTATATTCTCTTCAGAGAGGCTAAACCTAAGCCAAATCATTTTCAATAGACTTAAACACAGCAGATGCTAATTCTAAGGCTTAATATAACCAATTGGACACTTTCCATCAAAATTAGTTTTTAATCAGAAATGCCATTTCCACAAAATAGAAATTCTCACATGGAAAATTTCAGTTTTGCCAAAAAACACCAATTTTCCGCTGGAAACATTAAAATAATGCCTGTCTGGCTACCTGCCTGGAAAACGCTTGTCAACTCCGCTTCCTCCTCCAAGAGCAAACAAACCAAGGGAAATCTTCTAGCAGCGCTGCCCAGAGAAGTGACCTCACTCCATCCGTGCCTCTGGCTCTCAGCCGCTCTGCCTTGCATTCCCTTCCCAAGCACCCGGATACTCAGCCGCTCCCCAGCTTTTTGGCCCTGGGGTACAAGAGCGGAGCAGCCCACCTCCTCGGTTGCTCTTGGGGTGCACACTAGAGAGAGGCCTCAAAGCACATCTGCGCACTAGAATGAAAAGCTCTCCAGAGAGGGCGAGAGCAGCTTTGCTGATGGTCCTGCCCAGAAGCAAGGGAATTATCCTATTCCTATCATCCCAAATTTTAAATTCTCCTTTTATTTACTTATTTATTATTAAGAGCTCTTGCATTTTCACAACTTCAGCGCAGCTCAGGCAGGTATTTTTCTGACTCGACTCTGCCTCCTCTCAAAGATTTTCTTTATAGGAAATAATTTCCATTTTCAAGCCAGCTCAAGAGGACTAGAAGTTCAAAAATTATTTGAGTGAATCTGGCAATGAAAGTATCACTCACATTCAAGTGATTAAGCAGTTAAATCTGATAATCATTCACCTGCAGTGAAATTGAAAAAATAAATCACAGTTTGGGGGGTTTAGTTTCTTTAGCAAGTATCTTACAGAGGTCTAAGCTCCCCAGATTTGTAAATTGTAGAAACCTACTTTGTAAAAGGATCATTTTCAAAGATCTTGACCAGAAAATGATAGGACAATTCTATCTGTACTTACGAAGCGAAACTCAAAGCCAAACCAAAAGTTTTTCAAAACTGCAGCATACTGACCACAACAATCGCACCCCGTCAGGGGTTATGACATGATTAAACATTAAGGCCAGACTGCAGGCTCCGTGCACTTATCTTCATACATTCTGAGTTTTGTAAATTGTTAAACTACAATCAATTTTGCCCATACACGAGTAAGAGGAAAAGTTACCTTCATGTGTATTTCTAACAGAGTTATCTAAAAATGCTTTTCCTTTTGGGATGCATTTCCTTCTTTTGAAACTAAATTGACAAACTTACAGAAGCATATAATGCTTCTGTAAAAAAAAGTATTGGAAGAAAACATAATGCAAGAAGAAAGACAAGATCCAAACTTACATAAAACATTTATAATTGTTATCAGGGTTTATCGAAGTAGACTTTTGAAAAAACTTTAAAGTTGTTTTTTTTGTTTCTGAATATGACTATTTTCTTCCTTATAGCTTTGTTCTTTAGAGAATTACACAGTAATACTTGGAAGTTTCCACAAAATTAACTTAACAAAAATAGCAGATGTTATTAATGGTGTGAAAAGCAACATCACACTGTCAAGGCTAACGATGAATATACTGCAACCAAAAAAAAAAAAAGAAAAAAATCCCTCCATTCCCGCATCCAAAAAAGTAAAAGCACAAAGTTGCAGGTATACAACTGGAACAGGCAGAAAACCTAGAAAGGAGGACTTTTTAAATGCACTACGGCACCAAAATGAAGTCACACCATGTTACCCAAGCAAAACTAAAATTCAGTGACAACCTCTGTATTTATATACTATTCATCTCAACCCACCCAATTAAATCTCAGACCTTTATTTAGAAGTTAGATTCCTTTTACTAACATAATAGAGAATTATTTCCAGGTACAGGGTATACATTTTCTATATAAAAACATTTAGTGTCCTTGCATTTAATAAAACATCTGACTGAGAAAAATTATCTGGCCATTTTGCTTGGAGCTGAAAACTTCTAAAATCAGCTGCCATTCAGAATCAGCAAGAAACTTTCAATACTGTTGGTCTGAGATTAATTCATTCAATTATTCTATAATTTACTGAGTCTATTTTTTAGTAGGAAAACAACTTCTACAATCTCCTCTAATGCATTCATGTTCAGAAAGGCAACAGAGGCTTTAATGCTTCTTTATGAAGTATGAAGTTTCATGTCCACTGAAAAAGCAGGCACATAACCATGTTACAAGCCAGTTAACCCACTAAAAATGAAGCAATAAAAGAAACATCACAGCTCCAGTTGCAATAAAACATTGCTGAGAAGGGCAAATGAACACACACATGCAGAGTTAGTGTGTGCTGAAGTTAAAGAGCAACAGGCTATTAAAAGGAGAAAGTACTACAAAATTATAAAAAGCTATTTTTAAGCTTAATGTCACACTACTATTTATCACACTGCTATTTATGGTTTCTCTCATGTATTTATTGCTTTTAAGCAAGAATGAAACCCTGAATGCAGTTTAATCACCTGTGTATCACGGGGTCTTCAATTTCATTTACTTCTTTGCTGCTCCTGAGAACTTTCATCTGGCCAAATCGATTTCCTGATAAGAAGCTAGCACATACCTCCTGCCACAAACCAACACGGGAAGAGCCCATCGTCCCTGATGATACCTTGACAGTAATCAAATTACCTTTTATTCTTCTTTGTAAAACAACTGGGGGTCTGGAAGTATCCTGCCGAAATATTTTCTCTGCCACTAAAACTGTAAGATCATTCAAATCCCCACCCCAAGCCTCTTCACCGTGTTGCAGGCTGCAAGCACACAGTTACCGTGCCTCAGCTAAGAGGCTGGCAGCAAGTTCAGTTTTTGTTTTTCCCCCTACCAGAACGATAAATGCCAACCTGATTGTAGCCACAGCCCAATACAGAAGTCCACACATCCACGTCATCACAGCAAAACTTCTCAAACTTGTGGTATGACAGATCAGACCAATTCTTTTTTTTTTTAAACAAAGCCTAATTCTAAGAAAACCGTGCTGACAGAGGTGGTTATATATCTAGTCACTAAACTTTAAATAAAACACTAATCAACTTTTCCACTACATTGCCTATAACTGATATCTACTGATTCATAATAAAATAATCTAACTATAAGAGTTGATCTCAAAAGAAGTCTTAATAGAGTGATTAATTTCGCTTTATATGCCACAGTGAAGTTCACACAACTTGTGCAAAAAAAAAAAAATTACTGCTAAAAATGAACATGTTATTTTGCTGTTCAACTGTATACGGGAGAGACTGCGACATCCTAGCCTTTAACAATCTTTTCCCACTGTTTCAAAAATAAGGATATAGCATTATTCTTCTCTTTGAAGTCAAATGACTGAAGCAGCAGATTGATTTAAGAGCCTTCTATGCAAACTAATTCACCTTCCAACATGTAGCAGCTTTACAAAATGCTTAGCGAAAAAGCCCATTTAGATAGCCTCTTCCACTATACTGCAGTTAACAGATACTACTGTAACTGAACCACATCAGTTGTAATTCCCAGGCTGTTAGAAACCAGAAGTTTGCAAGGCTGTTCCATCTTTACTGCAATCAGTTCTCTTTGCTCCTCCATGCAAGTGCTAAGCTCCGGAGCCCCACCTCTGCTGAGCCAGGGACTACGCATGGCAGCAGGTCTGAATGACAGATTTTAACCAATTCCCTCAGTGGTCTCAGTTCTCCTTTGAGCCTACTGAAAAAGTACTTTAGGTAATAATGAATGATTATGTTGAATGTCTATCTGTTTCAAATTTTTAACAAGCATTTGAAATGTGGTAGTCTATGAAAACCTGACAGCGGAGACCTAACGCAAGGTTTAATGAGCATGTTTTCAGCAAAGTTGGCATGCTACAAACGCCAGAAAGGGATTTCATAGTCAAAATAAAAAGGTAATGTAAATCTGCAAGAAAAAACAAACTTATCCACAATACCATGATTTCCAATAACATGTAAGGAACACACATTTTAAGTAGCTGATCTGCAATGATGGCCTAAGCAACAGTCACAGTATAAAACTCACCCTGCTACCACATTTGTTGTTTCTATACGAGAGGTGAAATTCTGTCTCCAAAGCTACATGACAAGCATCTCAATAAGACAACAAGTTAATGTACTTTTATGATAGTAGACCTTTAAATATTTGGAAAATCGGTACAAGCTATTATGTAAACAGCTGACATTTACCCAAAACCCTATCAAAGACAGGGCAATAACTCCTCACAGTCAAAACTAAGCATGGAAATGATGCTGCAGTTCTTAAATCTAGGACATAACTACTTCCTCAGGTGTAACTGTGGTCCACGCCAAACACAGTAAAGGACTTAATATGTAGGCATATTTCTGCTAAGCGCTTCAGTTCTCAAGGATCTGTACATACTAAGTGACCCATACTTCCAGTGTGCACTGGTATGCGGAGATGTGAATCTCTGACAAAGAAACTCAAATTCCTCCAAGCTTGCGGAGCCAAAAACATTCAAGTCTTTTGACAGAAGTGATAAATTTAAGTGTCCCTAACAAGAAAAAGATTTGCAGAATGTACCCAAGTTTCCCAGCTTCTTGTCCTTTTGGTAAAGGTGAGAATCAAAATTTTTGCTGTTTTCTATAAAAGTACTGGAAGGGAAGCTGCCAGCAAGTAAAATCATCGTTTCCTTAAATACCTTTCCTTTGAGGCCGTCATTGAACACTTTTTTCTGCTCAACTGCCAAGCAGTCAACATTTTGGGACAGATTCATTTCCCTTTTCTAAAAGGGAACAGAAGCTACTGTGGAAAAAAATAAACCCGCTCGAAATACAGAGCACAAATGAGTATCAGTGCAGTATCTCCCTCTAAATAATGCCATGTGCAGAGACTGTCGATGGTAGAGGGAAGGAATATCTAGAATTCAACCTGGTGTCAGCCATCCCAAAATTACAGACGGTCCTTAGAAAAAAGGTTCACCATTAGATCAGGTGCGATTAGTCTCCACTAGTGCTAACTTGCACAAATAAGAAATCATACCTGTAAGATCAGTTCAGTAACCAAACCTCAAAAATAATGAATGAGGCAAGTTTTATTAAGAATCTAGCTTAGATTCCCAAAAGCTCTAAAAGAGTTTATGTTTTATTTAAAAGAAAATGCAGTTCTAAAATTTCCCACTACAATTCTTGCTTGTATTCAGCCTTCATGAAGTCCCAACAAAAGGCTACGGCTCTTATAGTCAAAGGTATCAGCACAGACTTGCCGAGAAATGAAAACAAGTTACAATAATCAATATTTAAGTTACTTTTATGAATACCATTATAGACAACAAAAATTCTTATCAA